GTTTTCAGGCCCCTCTTCTGTGGAACCAGCTTCCAGTTTGGATTCAGGAGACAGACACTATCTCTACTTTCAAGATTAGGCTTAAGATTAAAGCTTATATCTACTTAAATTAAGCCTTTATTACAAATAAATCTTTATTTATACAAAATGCAGAAAGACATTAAAAAACAGCTTGAGTATAAAAGACTGTATCAGATTCATATCAGTATCAGCAGATATCCAAATTTATGATATTGGTATCTGATATAAAAAGTGGTATCATGCCATCCCTACTGTAGTATTTACAAAATGGTACATTTCAGGCTAGTATATGAAATAGGAACCTGTTAGTAGAGGACCAGAAGAGAAGGAACCAAGATTATTAAAAAAGAAGGAGAGACAAAATGAATAGCCAGCCGGAGAAGAAGGAAGAGTTTCTCAGACAGGAAAGTGAAAGGTGGAGCAACAGAGTGAAACAGGGAAAAATAAAGAACATCACTCATCTTAAATAAAGAGAAGAGAATGTTTTGAAAACAAGTACACAGAGAATAAAGAGGAAAGCAGAGGAAGCATCTTAACATGCCAACGTAAATAAGTCCTTTAGAGATTAGTTTTGGCATGTGAATGCAAAAATAGAATTATTATGTAGTGTTTTAGCCATGTATCGCAATATTTCATAAGTTTTTAAAGTTTAATATTCATTTTGAATTCAACAATTTCTTGTTTTCTACCAGTTTGTCACCACAGTCAACAACTTGTCAACTCCTCATATGGATTTTCTGTTTATTTTTCTCTTTTTAAAGGAGGATATGTGTTGTTCCCTTATGACCACCTGATAAAAATATGTCATTTTGTTTATACTTCAAATGTTTTGGTTTTATGCTTCTAAATGTGACTCTTTCTTATGGAGATTAAATACAAGCTTCTGTAAATGTATCTGACTGAAGCTGTAATAATTAAAAGCTGAATAATAAGTTTTCAACAAAAGAGTCAAAAGATTGTACCAAAACATGTTAAAACAGCCCAACTTTGTGTAACAATAATATCCAAATATGGTACAGAAAGATCAAAATGTATTATTTAGAAAATAAAGCTTAAATTTCAAAACTTACATTTTAACTACTGATTTTATCTACTGTTCTGATTTTATCTGTTTTGATTTTATATACTGTTTTGTTTGTTAATTAGATTGTTTGTTTGCTTGTTTTAATCAATTTTAAATCATGCTTTTTATTTGTTTTTGTTTCTAATGTCTCTGTAAAGCACTTTTAATCACCTTGTTGTTGAATTGTGCTATACAAATAAACTTGCCTTGCCTTACACAGGCAGTTAAATTTATTCAACAAAAGCAAACCCAACATGTGATAATAAATCAGAGAGAAATGCATACATACATGCGGTGGGTTCAGAAATTAGTTAGACATTCACTTTTTTCAGCTTTATTATGTTGCTGCAACGTACTACAATTGCTCAAATTTATTTTTCTGCTCATAATTCTACACTCCCTATTCTATTATGAGCAGAAAACTTTAAAGAGATTCTTTGAAGTTTTAAAAATTTTATAGATATGTCACCATTATGAATCACCTTTGGCAGCAACAAGCAAAAACACAGCATACAGGAGATTTTTTGCCAGGCCTGTGGGTGTTTTCAAGATCTTCATTTCATATTTAGTGGTGACTCGAACCAAATTCCATCGCAGATGAAACATTTTGTAACCAATAAGTTAGGTACAGACGAAAGTTCAACATAACACGTGAATAAACAGTTTGTAAAATCCTGTCCACACCAAATTCAGTAATTATAGACACTAACTCAGCTGGGGTTATGATGTGTTATGTGGTGCACTGGGAACAACTGTTTAAAATTAACTTAAAAACAATACTGTTATTATGTGCAATCACAACATTTTTATTAATAACAGGCAGCAATGACAGTTCATTACAGTTCATATCTGTGATATTTGTGTTGTAGTTCACTGTGACTACTGGAGGGCAGCAAACTCATCACACTACAGTCATCTATACTGTTCTATACTTTTCAGATTGGACCAATCAGGAGAAATAATTTTTGTTATTACATTATCACAGAATAATTTCCAACATAATAAATACTGAATTATAACGAGTGTATGATATAAAGTACTAGCATAACACAGAGAATTAGAAATTCTGCAGTTTTTTCGTTGTGCACAAACGTTATATATAAATGGATGGATGCAGGATGGATGGATGGATGATGGATGGATGGATGATGGATGCAGGATGGATGGATGGATGCAGGGTGGATGGAAGGATGATGCAGGATGGATGGATGAGGCAGGATGGATGGATGCATGATGGATGGATGGATGGATGGATGATG